TCCGGTAAAAAGTTCTAATGTAAACGCCGCACAGTGGGTTCGAGTACCATGTTTTCTTGGATCAAATCAGGGAAGCTATGTTAGAATAATTTTTCTTTATTTTTCAGTTAATAATTAATTAATTAAAAACATGATTTCTAAGTATATTTGAGTATAATTTTATTAAGTAATGCCAAATATCAGTGTAGGTATATAGTGCCAGGAGTACAATATGATGACCTAAAAATTGAATTTTATACATCTTAAAGTTAATCATCATCATCCGCAGCCAGGGATGGTCCGTATGACGAATTTTCAGGTTTTCGACTGTCAAAAAGGTGTAAACGTCGAAAACGTCATATACCTGTATAAAATGTAGTAAACGTCATTTATTTCAATATGATCACCATATACAGTAATTTTCAAGAACATATATTATTTTACTGTATTTCTGGCTATTCTTTATTAAAACTCATGGTATAATAATAAAAGGTAACAGCAAGTGTTGTTGTACAAAAAACGATACAACAACCACATGGAAATTTGTTGTTGTAAGTTCTACTAGTGTCAACTCATTTGACAGAAAAATGTAAACAAACAAAACAAATTATCATCAAATTATTTTTATTTTGAAAATGGAATATTTTCGAATCCTCAAAATAAAAATTGAAAAACATGAATGAAAATCTATCAAATTTGTATTTCTATCGCTTCCACATCTTTCCTTTAATTGAGCCATTGCCATATATATGTGTAACACATATGACAATGCTGGGAATAGCGAGTAATTCCTTCAAGAAAGATTTGCTTTCTCAAACTTTCCCAGCAGGCAGATTGAGTAAATTGAATACGGGAGCACATTTAAGAACAATTAGAACAATTTCGAATTGTATACGTTTCCAATATTCCTGTTGGGTGATTTTTAAAAACATAATTTGTCATATTCATATTGACACTAGTATTACGTTGGAATCAAATCAGCTGGGATTTGCTGTTACCTTTTATAAAAAACTGATAAAAAATTCTGAACTTTTTTTTGAGAAAAAAATTTTGAAATTCGATATGGATTTGAGTAAAGCATACGTTATTTCCAAATCGATAAATGTATAGCTATTTCATCAAAAACCTAATGGTTTTAAGTGGGTATCCGACGTATGTATTATACGTCGGAAATGTATGTCATTTACGTCACTGTTTCTGACAGGCCATCTCTGTCCGCAGCATCACCAACTTCTGATAACTGCTCAATATGTAAAAGGGCATTTGACACAATTTCGGGTCCGTGAATAAAAAAACTTGTGCAAAGTGGTAGGCATATTATACAAAGGATACGTTTCAACAAAAAGTCGTCCTGTATTGTGTGCATATATTTGAAATTTTTCATTATTACAGCTATAACCGACACGTGTATTTATTATTAAATTAACATCTATTTATGTTATTTCTGCAGATTATTTTAGCGTTTTAGTGCGTTTTTTATTTCTTTAGCTAAAAATGTCATCTTGTCATTCATTGTTGGAGCGCTTTAATTCATCATAAACTTCGACGATTATAAAAAACAACGTTCGAACTTGTATCTATAAAAAATGCTAATAAAAACCCCTTTTACCCGATTACTTGAAACTGCACAAATACAATCACTATTTGTTCAAACAAAGAATATTATTAAAATAAACAAAAACAAAATATTATTGTAACAAAGAATATTATTAAAAGAAACAAAACAACAATAAAATAATTAGAAAAAAATAACATGAAAAACAAGAAAACACAACACTCAACAACAGCAACAGTCACGAGATCAATGTGACTTTTAGCTAATTTGACTGCTGCAACACTTGTATTTAACAATGCATAGCTTCTAAAAGGCACAAAAGGGCAGCGTAAAATTTTGCAATATAACACAGATTTATGTCCTCTTTAATATAAACCAAAAATTATGGCACGTATGTGGACGAATAATAACTATTTATCCAGTTAAAATATAAAAATATTAATTTTTTTGGCATTTTCAATATAAATAACTACATCTAAATAACTTCCAAACACAATTTGATACTCAAATGTAAACGAAGTATTTGCAAAATAACTTAACTTCATGGTTCCATTGAAAATTTTTTAACTTTTAAAATACTTTTTAAATTAAATAAAATTTTCAATGGGAACGTTTTCACTTTTTTCGGCCTTTTTTGGCACAAAAATTTCTATGAAGTTTGACTTTGAAGTTTCACTACAAAAACACCAGTCCACTTTTGACATTTATTTTAACGAAAAGTGATGTATAATTTTATTTACTTTAACAGTGTGCAAACATTTTTAACGATACTTAAAACTTTATTTTTTAATTAATCCAAGAAAACAGGATATTCTAACCAACTGTGCGCCGTATAGATATTATAGTGCACGGTGCAAAATAAAGTCTATACAATAGTTTGGTCCCCACAGTCTTGCAAATCCAAATTCGCCTGTGTAATATGGAAGACATATACATTACTGATTGGTGCTATCCTCACAAATGCTTGTTCCAGAACCTGAAAAAATTTCGATGTGGAAAATTGATTGAAGGAAGCATCAAAGAGAGGTTCGTTACACGGTATAATATTCAAGGCTTTTTATGTCAAAGTCGTGTACAAAATGTGTGATTTTGTATGTGATGTTTTGAAAAATATAAAAAAGTATATTCTAGAATTAATTTGTTTAAAAATGAATTTTACAACATTGGTAAGAAGAAATTTATGATTTGTGGATGAATTAATATCGAAATAACTCGACTTTGAAACGAAAACCTGACATTCCGTTCATTTTTCGTATTTTGTTAAAATGTTAAAAATGTGTCAAATGAACAGAACGACTTGTTGCATTTACCATGGTTTTTTACTGCGAGTTTAAGGGGGAAACGAGGATTACGGTCTTGTCTGTTAAGTTGGCTTTGTATAAAATGCCAAGCCTTAAGTCCTCTTCTGTGTTTCCCCCTTTATGCTACATATAACGTTTACACAACCCTAATCGGAATGTTCCGCAGATATTACGAAAGAATCATGAACAGATTGCTTCGGCTGTTTAAGGGAGAACACACATAAAATAACTTCAGGATTGTAATGTTAAGAGTCTAAAAGCAACCATAGAGTAAGGAGTCAGCGGCACACTTTTTCAGTAGTTTTGGCGGTTTATTTGGGATACCATTTGTATTTTGTTTTTGTAAAATAGTCAGGCTGAATCCCAGTTTGTTGTTTTTATAAAAAACAACTATTTATTAGTGGGGAATGTATGGCATTGTTTGCCGAGGGGTAAGGCAGTGAAGACTATAGTTTCGGATCACGCCACTGATCCTCATCAGTTCCCTTAGTTTTTGGTTGGGATATTCTCCCCAGATGCTATTGCTTCTATACAAAAAACCTTTCTAGCTGGCCAACGACATAAACTGCTGGCGTGAAACCAAACGAAAGAGTTAGCGGATAGCGGTACAAAATGTCAAATTCAATTTATTCAGGATATTCCAATTTATACAAAAATCGCATTTTTCATTTTCCATTTTATCGCATTTTTTTCCATTTTATTATTAATTCGTTAATAGACGTCCACAATCTTTGAAAATCTGGTGTCAGCGGTATACTTTTTCGCCGGCGAGAAAACCAAACGAAAGAGTTAGCGGCTAGAGGCACAAAATGCAATGCTCTTACAAATTTCTTCCTTTTTGATTGTGTTTTTGTAATCAGGATATTCCATGTTATATAAAATGTCGCATTTTTTATTTACTCGATCAATTTGTCTTCCATTTTTTTTATTAATTCGTTAAAAATTGTCCACAATCTTTGAAAATATTTGTTTTTTAAAGCATTGCCATATGTTTTGATATAAATTTCCATTGAAATGAAATTTTTACCTAAATATGACAACTCAATTGAGGGCAAGAGAGAAAATTTGAGTATAACGCTGAGCAAAAATGAATAAAATCTATTCTAGCGTCAAGCCGCTAGACGTGAACGTCAGCCGTCGGGATTTCTCGTTGCCTATAAGAAACACACAGTAAACGACCGTCGCTGACTCTAGACTCTCTGGTTGCGTTAAGACTCTAAGTTGGATTTATTTAATGTAAATAAATGAAAACGTCGTCTAAAATCAAGCATGATGCAATAATAAGGTGATGTATCAAAACAGAAACCTTTGTTTTTGTCTCGACCATCTGCCAAATTTTTCCTTATAATATTTCACATGGCTGGCAACATTGGACATTGGCCGATACAACTAGGTGTGATACATGCTTGGAACGAACCATCATGCAATAATAAGGTGATGTATCAAAACAAAAATCTTTGTTTTTGTCTCGATTATCTGTCAAATTTTTCTATATAATATTTTAAATGGTTGGCAACACTGCACTTCGAATTCAAATAGAAATTACCCATATTGACAGGTAATCAAGACATCAGCTGCTCTAAATGGACTACCTATTCATTGTGCCATGCTTAGCCCTTTACAGAATCGCACCACAGAACATTTATTCTCAGGCCATCATTATAATAAAGTCGCGTGTAGATTATGCCGCGTGGAAGTCACTTCAGTAATTTTGATTTGTAAAACTAAATAAAATAACAAAATATTTTATGCTTTCAATGTATATAAATGAATTTATTACAAAATTTTATTTTTAAGTTTTAATAAGCCCAGATTTACATTAGGCATTTTTAATTGCCTCAATACTGTAGTTTGTGGGCGAGAGAGTTGAATGGAATGGCAAACCTTCACATTTCTCGCCCACAAACTGACAATTGCCGCATGTAAAATAAACTAATGTAATTTTGGCGTAACATTTAAAATTTTGTATGCATCTTATTGTTAGCAATACAACTTAGTACGTTTCAATTCCGGGTATATTATTAATTGGGTATTGAGTTGGAGGATATCTGATTGGAGCTTTTGGTGGTCCATAGGGTAGAACAGCAGGCTTATAGGGCTTGTGATTTACAGCAGGCTTGTGGGGCTTGCGATTTACAGCGGGATTATATGGTTTTTGAGCAGGCTTATAAGGCTTTGGGGTTTACAGCGGGCTTATATGGTTTTTGGGCAGGTTTGTAAGGTACAGCAGGCTTATATGGTTTCTGAGCGGGATTATAGGGCTTGGGATTTACAGCGGGTTTATATGGTTTTTGAGCAGGCTTATAGGGCTTGGGATTTACATCAGGCTTATATGGTTTTTGAGCAGGTTTAAAAGGTACAGCAGGCTTATATGGTTTCTGAGCAGGGTTATAGGGTTTTGGTGCAGGGTTGTATGGTTTGGTAGTAGGTCTATTATGATGGTTGTTTGGTTTGCCGTGATTTCCATTATGGTGTTGTGTACCTGCAGGAGGCTTATATGGCCCTACGGTAGGCAACGTATATCTTCTATCCTTAGGCGATCCTTGTTGTTTGGCCGATACAACTAGGGCCAAAGCTACTATTGCTCCCACGTAGTAAATAGCTTTCATCTTTTTAATTCACTTTTTGAAATATATTAATTAGTTTTAAATTCTTTTATTGACTTTCAGATTGTCAACGAACGATTGATACTGATCACGAGATGTGAATGTGCATTTATATCGAAATCGAGAATTTCTAAACGTATAATAAATATAAAATCTGCGGTTTTTGAAGCGATTAGTATTTTCCATGAACTGTTATAATTGTTTATATTAGTCAACATTGCTATAATAAATGTTCAACGCAAGAAGATTCATAAAAAGTATAGAAGGACAGTCTTGTAAAATCTAAAATCAAGATATTAAAAATGTTGAAGGATTTTGAGATTGACATTTGAGATCGAGTGGATTTAGTAATAAGAGGACTTCAGGATTGGCTTATTTTATTGGAAAAGAATAAATGAGAACGGCGTCCAAAATCAAGTTTGACTCTGATATTCCTTTATAAATTGGCATTTCATACAAAGCCAACTTAACAGGCCAGGCCTGATTCCTAGTATATTTTCCCCCCTTTAATCCGAATCTTGCACATATAATCATAGTAGTACTGTCGAAGTGGTATTAAGTTTATATTTTTGATCGGGAAGCATAGCTGTATTTTATCGCGTCCACAGGTTTGTGATTGTGGGAAGCCCAATATATCAATTGGGTAACTGCGAACATAATTACCATCCGCGTACAGTCAGCTGGACTAAGGGGAGGATCTTGGAGAAAATTACCGAGCTACAATGATCATCAGTCCAGAACGAACGAAATTATGCGAAATCAAGCATAGGGTTTGCCGTCAAGATGCGAACGAAGCCTCATTCACTTTCAGGAAGCTGTACAATAGTCGTCATCATGACTCCAATCCTACCAACTCATATGGATTCTGATACTTCTGAAAATTCACCATCAAGAAACCCATGGTACGCGCAGGAGTGTCGTAATGCTACTGATGTAAAAACGCAATGTATAGCACAAACCTGCAGACATTAGCAACACGCAATGCGGGGGAGAATTATCGGGAGAAAAGGTGAGAGGAGAAACGTTTTTCAGAAAAATGAAGAAAGAACAAGAGAAACGTAAGCTTGAGAAAATCGGGATGTACAGGAGTCAGAATGAAGTCCGGAAATTTTACCAACGAATAAAACACCAAACCGAACGCTTGGTTCTCCTGTAGAGAAGAAGATGGAAACCTGGCGACAGACACAGATAGCGTGTTGAGGATCTGGGAGGAGCATTTTGCAAAGCTTTTGATATCAAATAGAGGCAGTGAAGAAGATACCCCAGAACCAATAAGAGATGATGGTATAGATTGTATATCACATAGCCAAGATGAGATCAGAATAGCAATTAATCAGCTGAAGAACAGTAAAGCAGCAGGTACCAGCTGAACTATTCAAGACCGGTGGTCAGATGTTGGTCACGGGGCATACACCAGCTGATTAAAACAATTTGGCTAGGGATGCATGCCCAATAATTGGAACCTCAGCATACTGTGTTCCGTGCACAAAAAAGGAGACAAGACGATATGTACCAACTATAGATGAATATGTCTCCTTCCCGTCGCATATAAAGTGTTATCCACGAAAAACACATTGACACATTTCACCTATTCGTCGACTATAAAGCCGCATTCGACAGCCCTATCCGTTCAGAGGTGTTTAAAGCCATGTCTACGTTCCGCATTCCTGCAAATTTAAAACGGCTATGCATGATAACTTTACCTTTAAGTCAGAAAGGACCTCTCGGAGTCATTTAATATCGATCGAGGATTCAGACAAGGTGACGGTTTGTTGTTGACTATTTTAACGTCCTGCTGGAAAAGGTCATACGAGAGGAAAAAGTGAACAGAAATGGCACTGTGTACACCAAACAACAAATGTTATTCGCCTACGCCGATGACATCGTTATAATGGGTCGAACATTGCAAGGGGTGAGTCTGCAAAAGTAAGTCTGGCAGTAAATGACTAGAAAACTAAGTTGATGGTATCAACACGCAAGACGTCCCGTAGACTTGGACCAACTGTGGAACTTGAGAACTACAGCTTTGAGGTAGTCAACGATTTTATATACATTGGTACTAATGACAACAGTTTTGAAAGATGCTTTTATGGTCTAAGTAAGCTGTTTAGCCACATTTCGCCAGACTCACACTATACAAGACGCTGATATTACCCGTGGATCGCAAGTAGATGAAGCAGCTCTTGGTGTGTTTGAGAGAAAAATTCTCCAGAAGATCTATGGGTCGATTGGCGTTCACGGGCAATATCGCCGTCGAATGAACCATGAGCTGTCTATTCTCGGACATCGACATGAAGCGACTACGTTGGTGAGGCCATGTTGTAAGAATGCATGAAGATGCCCCAGCTCAAAAGGTATATAAAAGCGAAGGGGAATGCCACGAATTCGTGGAAGACAACATTTCCGAACATGGTCTTTCATATTGGAAGAACTGTGCAAATGACCGACTCGCCTAAACATATCTTTTATGCTCGGAACAAATGTTCTGTCACAATTATGGAACAAATGTTCTGTCACAATTATGAAGTATTTTTTCCATTCCTAACAATTGAGATAATTTATCGAAAATAAATTAATTTTGACAGTATGGAAGAAAATATTTATAAAATTTTCTAACTTGTTGAAAATGACGAATGAAAAGTAAAAAAACCTAGTTTTTTTACTATTTAGATCCATATGTGATTCACGCAAATATGTTACAATTTTGGTGTAAAACAAGAAACACAAAGTTTGAAATAAAAAACTCTGATGACATGAATTAAGAATAGTGTTGAGTGAACGGGTTAATTCATGTACGTAATTCTGAGAGCGAACTACGTTGTTCGAATGCCCATCAGAACATGGTATGAAGTATATAGAAGCCATTGTAAAACGAAAACGCGATGAAACTAGCAAAATTTGGGGTCAAACTGTCATTCAAAACTGATTAAAGCAGTGTACACACTAGCACTTTTGAGTGACAGCTTTTTTTTATCAATTACTGACTGTACAATAACCATGAATGTTTTTGTGGTTGTCTGATGAATAACAAACATGAGAGGCCACACTATCAAACAAGCAGAATTTAAGCAAGAGAGCTATTCAAAAGTGCTAGTGTGTACACGGCTTAAAGCTTGTCCATCCAGTTAATAGTACGTTTACATTTAACCGGATTTCGGTAACCCAGTGGGTATCAATTGTCAATTCCTTTGCATATATGTCAAATAAATCCTCATAAAGTAGGTTAACTCGGTAAAAAGTTCTAATGTATATGCCGTTTTAAAATATGTTTCGATAGCTTATTATGGGTATATTCCCGTCATGCAATAATGTAATAATATTTACTATTTTCATCGATATCATAAAGGAAAAATTGTTATCGTGGTAAAAAAATTTACATTCCATATGCCCGATCCATTTGTTAAATAAATAAAATTAAAATAAATGAAATTACGAATTGTTTTATGCTTTGAATGTATTTAAATGAATTTATTGAAAAACTTATTTTTTAAATTCAATAAATTCTGATTTACAGTTGATAACTTTAATTGACTCAATTCTGTAAATTTGCCTCTGACAATTGCCTAATGTAATTTTGTATGCATATTATTGTCAGCAATAAAACTTAGTACGTTTAACTACTGCGTATATTATTAATTGGATATTGAGTTGGAGGATATCTGCTTGCAGCTTTTGTTGGTCCATAGGGTAGAACAGCAGGCTTATATGGCTTGGGATTTACAGCAGGCCTATATGGTTTCTGAGCAGGATTATAGGGTTTGGTAGCAGGATTGTAGGGTTTGGTAGTAGGTCTATAATGATGGTTGTTTGGTTTGCCGTGATTTCCATAATGGGACTGTGTCGCCGATGGATACTTATATGGCCCCACGGCAGGCAAAGTATATCTTCTATCCTTAGGCGATCCTTGTTGTTTGGCCGATACAACTAGGGCCAAAGCTACTATTGCTCCCACGAAGTAAATAGCTTTCATTTTTTTTTTAAATTCACTTTTTGAAATATATTTATTTTTTAAATTATTTTTTTGACTTTCAGATTGTCAACGAACGATTGATAATGATCTCGAGATGTGAATGTGCTTTTATATCGAAATCGAGAATTTCTACACGTATATAAATATAAAATCTGCGGTTAAGAACGTAAATATGATGGAAAATAGAGAATGGCATTTGGTATATTTATGAAGTGATTAGTATTTTCCATGAACTGTTATAATTGTTGATATTACTCAATATTGCTATAATAAATGTTCAAAGCATTGAAGGCGAAGATTTGCTAATCCCAAAATAGAGAAACTTCGGGTAATGTGGACTATGCGTCTAATGTGGACCACCCCCATATCTAAGAAAATGCTTGAAATATGCCAATGCCGCCTTGATATATGTTTTCCTAATTAGTAAAAACAAATATCTAACATGATTTTTAGTACATAATTGCAATGTTGAAAATTTAGTAAAGCTCTTATTGAAATCTGTGATTTGAAAAGTTTTTATCACAAGAGTCAAACAATTTGTTTTTCTCAATTATAAAGAAGTTATATAGAACATTATTTTTTCAATAAAAGTGTACGTTTAGCTGTAATTACAATCGGTTAGTTTTAATTTTTATTCATTTTTTAAGCCAAAAATATTTCTAAATAAAATATGCAAAGTCGGATAAGTTCCAATCATGGCCCCATATTAAAAACATTTCACTAAGGAGGTATTCTATCCTCTGAAAACTCGATATGCGTAATTACAGCTTCTTTGGTTGGATATTGAAGCTAGGACCTTCAAAATACCGCAAATGGGCGGTACCCTTAAATGGGGGCTATTCCAAAAAATGTATGGGTTCATACCCACATGTTTTTACATTCATTGTTACCCAAGATTGAAATAAATAAAAATTTACCACAACCAATCTAAGACCTACCTTTTAACTTACTGTCCAGTTATGAGCTTTTTTTAAATATAATGCAATAAAATGCTTATGGTCAAATATATATATGGTCTGTTCCCGTACTGCAA